AAATTAGTTACCTTGGCAAGGGGTGCATAGAAATGAAAGAAAGTGGCAGTACTGGTTAAAGCTGCCTTACCCAATATTACTGCCAGCTTAGTCTAAATAAAAAGATCCCAGATATCTTGCTTGGGATCCAGTCCTTGGGTCTTGAATGGCAGCAGTATCACAGCATCATGAGCACATGTGTAGTTTGCCAGTGCTTCCTGGGATGACTTGTTGACCATTAGAATAACTTCTGGGTCTCACTTACAAGCATGAAATCAGTTGGTCAGTGGTCAGCAGAAAGCAGCTGTATGTACAGGTGGCATAAGCTGCCCATTCTTTTCTCATACCTACGGCAGTTTCAACTTAAAAAAAAAAAAAAACCACACAACTTGGTGCTCTTCAGGTTATGTAGGTTGTCATAGTTTTGAGGTAGTGGTGATGTGACCTTGCTGAAGCAGATCTGTCTTGTCACTTTCGGAGGAAACATGGATAGTCAGGCCATTTGTCATGCTGCTGTGGAAGGGTTGTGAGGTGCTCAAGGGTGAGGAAGCCTAAAGGTGCACTGGAGGCGAGAACAGTGCAGGGCAATGGCAGGAGTGGGGAAGATAGCTCTCCTCAGTCAGCGGAAGTTTGAGGGAACAAATCATGAGTTCCCTGAAGATTTTTAGTTGCGTTGTAACAACTTTTCTCCACCCTTGTTTGGCTTAGTGTTGTTCCCAAGGGCTTGATAGTAGGTCATGCTTGAAATATGTTTGTAAGATATCTTTGCAGATGTAATGAACTGGATGTGTACATCTACTCCATGTGTTTTTCTTTCTTAGCAACAGGGTATTGGTCGGCCAAGTGTATACCATGCGGTGGTGGTCATCTTTCTGGAATTCTTTGCCTGGGGGCTCTTGACAACTCCAATGCTAACAGTAAGTATCACTGGTTTTGGCAGTAATGACAAAATTTAAATCACCAATTCCTAGGGATTGGCATTTTAATTTGTTTTATGCTTCCTGCTTACCTCATTAACTGAATTCCAGGAGTCCTAACATTCGACAAGGCAATAGTAGTATACTACAGCTGGGATCTGGACTGTGAAAAATAAATTAGCAAAATGCTGCACTACTCTAACTTTTTAATTTGCCTTTTAGAGTAATACCAGTTTAACGTATTAATGAACATATCTCTAGCTTTTTCTAAGACTTCATAGTTCAATTAATCTTCCAGTCATAACAACAGAATGAACTATGCATCCCATAGTATGCTGCTGTGGGCTGGCTGTTTTGTCAGCATGTACCTTGAAGTAAAATGTAAAAGCTTTTGTGTAAGGAATATATTTTATAAGTATTTAATCTGCAGTTATTTTCCAGATGAATATATAATTTGAGTGTTAGGTCGTAGGATATAAATCCTTTCATCTGAAGACATGGTTCTTGTTCATTGAAATGGGGCTTGACTGACAGAAGTCATCAAGTGTCTATTAGTCGCATTTTTCATCAGATAATGTATGAGAGTACTTGGAATACATGGTGAACAAGGTTTGGATTGAAAAGACATCAGAGTTAATTATTTTCCTTCCCCAAACTCCAAATAAAATGGTCTATATAACTTCTGAAAGGTGTTTGCCTGACCTTCCTAAAGACAATCACCAATCTTTTTAATATAGCTTAATAATAAAGAAGTTAACAGATTTCCATGAAGTAGATGTCTCACTATAATAATGTCTGCTCATCCTGTCTTGCCAGTGTCAAAAAATGGGGAAGCTTAGTGGGTGGTGTTTCTTGTTTCTTTTTTCTTTTTCTTTCCTTTTTTCATCCAAAAATTCTCAGCTTCAAGTTGCCCTAGCTTGACACTTCTCATTTAAATAGGTAATGTACAAACAGTAATTCTTGTGCAGTCTTTAAAAAAACCTCCACTTTAATAAAACTGTTAGGTGTGTTCTTCAACATTTTTTTCCCATGGTGTACTCCATTTGAAATAGTTCTGTATGAATTTGTACTTTTAGTCACGTGCAGCTGAAATGTAAATACTTGTAATTAGTATTTACCATTGCACTGTGTCTAATGGGAGTGTTATGAGATGATTCTAATGTAAGGCTAAATTGTTACTTGACTGAAGTATGTGGATTCGATATAGTTACGGTCTTTAATGTCTTGTACTTGGAATGTGGTGTTCCTCTCTTACATGGCTTTGAATACTTATGAGGCTGTTGCATTGGATTTAAAGTGTAAAACACGGAGTTACACATAATGGTGTAATTTCCCTTACACAGTTGTAAATGACTTATGTGTTCTTGGGGCAGTGTGTGTGTGTTCATCTTTTTATAATCAGCTTTGCATACACTGCAAGGCTGCTGTTTGATATAAATAATTTCAAGTATTTGCTCCCTTCTGTCTTGTAATGTACTTGTGGCTGTTCGGCTCAAGATCGGCCAAAGCTTATGCTCATTAGTCTTTATTTATGGACTTGTAAGCCAATATTCGTAAATCATCATAAGCAATATTAGTCACTTAGTGGCATGTTCTGTCTTCAATAGAATCTTTTGAGAATATGTAAATATTTATTGGTAGAAAATGAGTAAGACAGTTCCCCCTACCAGTTTGTCAATTTGCATTACTCTTGTTGAAGGAACAAAAATTAATCTCAGAAGCTTGGACCATTATCAGCAGTGGTTGCCTTTCAAGAAAAATACTGGAAAACACGTTACAGAAAGATGGTTAGGTTTGACTTCAGTGATCTTCCTCCTTACTTCTCCCCCCCTGAAATACATCTGCTTTCTAGATCTTGAATTTCAAACCTGACTTTTCCCCCCCCACCCCCTCCATTCCTATTGTAAGATCCGTGGTCAAACAGCTGCAAAATTGTTTTAAATATGTACACAGAACCTGAGACCAGAAGGAAAAAGGTGTGTAAATAAGCAGAATTATCTGACTGGTAGTTAACATGAGAACAACGACCCTTATTAAACCTGTGATTTGAGAATCTGTAGTCCTTGGAAAAATGAGGCTGATGTTTTTCATTGACACTAAAGTATTGTGTTTCTTCAGGTTAGTGGCTTTCTCAATATGCACATAATTTTTGTAGTTGTTGGCACTTATTTATAGATAAAAACAGCATAATGAATTTGAAGTGTGTATGCATACATGCTTTGATCACTGCAATATTTTTTTAAATCAGCACAGTAGCACCTGTGAGGCCTTTTAACTCTCTTGCATATTTATGGTAAATCTGTTTAGTATAGATTAGCATGCTTGCCCTTGAATTAAGGCTGTTGGTAAAGCACCTTAAATTAATTCATAGCTGTACTTAAAGGATACATGAAACACTCAGAACTGTTGCTAGTGTTCATAAGCATCTGTTTATTCATCAGAGGTCTTTAACTCTGTGACTGTTGAATATCTGCAGGTTGTTCAGAAGCAGTTTGCACAGTGCCTTTTTGGGCAATGGTGAATATAACACTTGAGTAAGTTAGCTGAATCACATATTCACTTCTATGTAGTAACAGTGATTGAGTCAATGTTTTGAAGGGATTATCTACCTCAGAAATACTGTGATGCGTACCACATGGAGATGCTTTTTGCTTACATTGGTCTCCATTCTGAGCAAAGTATCCCAAGCCAAACTCTCTCCGCAGTGCCAATAAATCAGTATTAAACCTTGTCAATGTCTTCTTGTGAAGACAAATAAAAGTATAATTTTCAGACAAGATACTTCTTTCTTTTTAACAAGTCCTGATAGAGCTATCCTGTTTTACAGATCACATTTGAACTTGGTTCGACTTTCTTCTGTCTCTCCTGATTCAAATAATTCTTTTTTTCCCCATCAGGTCTTACATGAAACATTTTCACATCATACATTTTTAATGAATGGTCTTATTCAAGGTGTTAAGGTAAGAGTTTTAAAAAACCTCTGGCACAGGTATTCTGTGTGTTCCTGTATTGTAATCTGCCTGCCCTGCATTCTCCCTAAGAACATCCAAAACACCGAAAATGTAGTTAATTCTTAAACTGTTGTTCTTGGGCTCAGATCAAGATTTACTGCTGTCTTGAAAAAGTGTAATATTTCTCAGAAGTTTAAATTCCTCTCATTTGAATAGGTACCAGTTGTAACTATTATAATCTTGATAAGGACCTTCTGAGAATGGAGCTAGGTTTTTAATGTCTGCTTCCTAATTTTAAATGATTTATATAAAAAGTAGGTTAATGCGCAGCCATGGTGATACCGTTGAGAGAAAAAATGAAGCACTTAAGCACTGTGATTTTGTCCAAGATGTGGTATAAAAGCTAATTTTCAGCAGGGTTGTGGTTTGGTTTTTTTTTTTTCCTCCTGGTCTTTTATCTTTTTAATCAGTTTTGATCATTCTGTCATAGTCAGGGTATTCAGGGCAGCTTATAGCTTACTTATGCCACTGCGTTTACACAGTGGTCATGGTGGATTCTTGCCACAAAGAAACCTTGCAAAATGGCTCTAGCATAACTAAAACTTGAAAGTCACTTCTTTTCTGACTGTCTTACTGAGAGGCTTCAAAACAAGTAATTTGTAGCACCCAGAAACTTAGCCTTGTATTCTACAACAAATCTAAAGCGTCGTTTTTAGCTGTAAGAATATGACGCCTTTAAGATGGACTTGCAGTCTTGATCTGTTGTGTGGTCGACTGGCAGAACACCACACGCCAGGGATGTTGGGATTTCCCAGAATGAAAGAGGAAGTTAACTTTGAATTGTTCTCTAGCAAAAATCAAGTTCACGTTGCTCTTGGTGTTTTCTTTCAACCCTGTTCACTCACAGTGCAGTGTAACTAGGAGTGTCACTTACAGGTGATGGAGAGTTCCCCATACATTTCCTGCAGAGCATAACTGTAGAAAGATATGTGGTCTACATGTATGTATACTTTGACAGGTGTAATGGACGGAAGCATAGACAAGAAGGAGCTCAGACTTTACTTTCTGAAACTGCTGGAATCAGAGTTGTTTATTGGGTTTGGGCAGAATAGTGATTTAGCACAGTAGTCTGCACGCATACGCTAAACTTGAAGGTGACTGTATTTGAATACCAGAGATTAGCTGATGTTAGCTGGAGTAGATATCCGGTGTATTAAGGTGCTTATAGAACCGTGTATTTAATGATGTTTGGATTTATGACTGAGTTGGATTGGTAAGCGAATGCAAAACTAACTGGGAGGAAGATTCATCTGTTCTGGAGGTTTTGCAGTTGGCAAACTTGTGAAAGGGTTTGCTTATTTTAATTCTCCTGTTGTAATACAGAACAGATTTGAGGCCTAGATTCTAGGACTTCATGAAATGCTGAAACATCGAATACTTGATCCTTAAACGTTTTTTTCCATGAGAACAGGAACCTCTAAGTCTGACTTTTGCCACTGGAGTATCATTACCATCTTCCACTGTCTCAAGGTGTCAAGCTTGCTCAAGTGGTCCTCACAGTTATTTCAATGTCCCTTACATGATAAATATGTAGTATAAAGCAATAAGTGTTCTGTTTAATTTGTTCAGAGAACAGTTAGGCTACCCAAACCTCTCCCTTAAGACAGAGAGGAATTTGGGTTTGGGAGTCTAGCACTAAGTCTTATGACAGAGGCTAAGATAATGTCCTTTGTGAAACCAGACTGTAGATGTTGGACATATTTAAGAAGCTTTTGCAGTCTGTGGTACTTCTGTATTAAATCAAATTGATCTTGAAAAAATTCATGCTTTTTTTTTAATGCATTTAGGTTTAATAGGTTAGAAGCTAAAACATGAGAATCACAGAAAAGTAGACTGTAGAAGAAATTCTGTACAATTTCAGTTATCTATGACTTTTTTGTTTAATTTCCAATCAAATTGCGATTTTAGTCCTTTATTATACTGTCGTTGAAGTGAAACTTGGAAATGTAAATACAGACATATTAATTGTGTTTCTTTTGTCACAGGGTTTTTTGTCCTTTCTCAGTGCTCCGCTAATAGGTGCTTTATCAGATGCATGGGGAAGGAAATCTTTTCTTCTTCTTACAGTTTTCTTCACCTGTGTCCCAATTCCATTAATGATAATAAGTCCATGGTAAGTGGTACAGACTGCAGTATCGAATTTGTCAGCAGAGCAGAAATTCAGTCAGAGGATTAATTTGGGGAAGTGGGAGAGGGACAATAAGAGGAAAGCCACTTTCCTTTCATCACGTGATTGCATTATTCTGGAACTTTTCTGTTAAGAGGTGTTAAAACTGTGTATCTTAAAAGTAGAAATTACGGAATGTGATTTAGTTACTGTATTCACACAAGTACAACAGTAATTTAAATGGTTTGATAGTCCTGTCTAACCCCATTTTAAGATCAGCTCTTCATTTTTTTTTTCCCTGAAGACTGACAGTGCTGTAATAAACATGCTTTTAAAGCTAAATGAAGGTTAGAATTTATTGAGCACAGAAAAGTATAATTGCTGCAAACAGGATCCTTGAACTCTTTGATTAGGCAGCTTTGAAGTCTGAACAGAGTGGTATTGACTTGGTTTCAGTTTCTTTTACATTCGTTGAGAGACTTAGGAGGATTACGCAAGAAATGTGTGTACACCCAGTGCATTCAGAGTTCAGCTTCCAAAGCATTATATAGGATAGCTTATTCCTTAACTGGCTGAGAAGCTGAGTTCTAAGATAATTGCTTTTTCTTTACTTAAATTTGCTTCACCTTTGAGAGTGTTAAAATGTGTAGGTACCATGTCCTGAAGAGACCAAATTCTTAGGCTTATGTAATGTAAACAGTAGACTATAAAAAATTAAAATGCTTTTTTCCAATATTTAAATGAGATTGCACAATCATCCTTCTCCAGTAAAACTGTATTGAGGAACACCTCATAGATTAAAAACACACTTGCTTGATTACTGAGAGAAAAGCAAGATGTTTTAGCTTAAACTTTCTAATTTGTTGCTTTTAAATTATTAGGTGGTACTTCGCTATGATTTCGGTATCTGGAATCTTTTCTGTTACCTTTTCTGTAATATTTGCCTATGTAGCTGATGTAACACAAGAACATGAAAGAATTACAGCCTATGGACTGGTAAGACATGCTAAACTTGGGAAAAAAAGGTCATATTATGACCTTCGATTGAACTTGTGTTTGATGCACAGATTGTTTCCTGATTAATGTAATGAAGTTGATAGAGAAAAGGATGAACCATGCATCAAGGCACAGTGTTAGAGTTTGGGAAATCTAATGTAGGCTTTTTACTGCTGCATGGACTTCTCTGTGCTTGTAAGGAACTGAATTTGACAACTTGACCTGCATGGAGTGCGTGTGTATCAAACATAAGTTTCACAGGCAAGAACAAAAAATGTTGTCAAAGGCAATGCAAAGTAATTAATACTTTCTCTAGCAATATCTTTCCACCACCTGTAGATAGCACTTTTAGTTTGTGCTATCTTCTTAATATAGAATGACTTTTTTTATAGTCAAAACAGGCAGGAAGGGAAAAAATGCATAATGCAGTATTTCTAGTAACTTAGTTACAACCTTTCTTAATCAGCAAGAGAAGAGGAAAATAGTTCCTGCTTAGTTGGCTTTCCCGAGTATCTGTATCGATTTAGGCCTCCGAGGCCCACTGGTGCCCTTAGCCTTTGAATTCATCATTTATCCCTTCATCCTCTCTGCATCTGTTTTTGCTGTACAGATGTTGATGACTTGATTCTTGGCTGATTACTGTACGCTAGCTGTTAACAGTTTCCATTTGTTCTCTTTTATACCTTGGGGACCTATGATCCCTCAGATGTTGATTTAACAGTTAAGAAAATAAAGGACTCTAGAGCCACTTGTGTGTATTGTTGTAGCAGAGAGTACAAAACCGGTTTAAAAGTTCTGGAATTCCCACTTTATTCTTCCTGCATACAGAGGGCCATAAGTATATTTGGAGCATATATTTGCATGCCTTCCAAGGGCTTTTTAAGCAAAACAGCATGATTTGTAAATTGACATACAAATTCTGTAAAATGATATACAAAAGTGCCGTTGTTTTGATGAGATGATACCTTTTCCTTTGGATTTTTTCCTGTCTTGTTACAAACTTAAATTTCTAATGTGTGTTTTTACTTATTCTGTAGAATAGTTATGTAGAGTGTTTTTATTTTGGGGACTTGAAAAGGGTAGTAATTAAAAAAAAAACCCCAAAACAACCCAACCTAAAAAAAAGCCCAACAAAAAACCAAAACAAAACCAACAAAATCTAGTTTTTTCCTAAACTTTTCTGATGATTTTTATAGTGAAATTTAACTACAGCTCTTGATTTTTGTTTTTTTCATCATGTTCTGCTGTATGTGAATATAGTAAGTGATCTGGTAGTAGCTGCATGTCACTACAACATACTACGAAGCAATACAGTTGTTGCTGAAGTTGCTGACGTAGTCAAAGATCTCCTAGTTTGCAGTGCTGTTCGGTGGTAGCTATGTATTTAAAACACAAGCTGTTAGCAGAGGCATTTTGTATTACTTTACATATTACCTAGAGTGCTGAGGTTCAGGTTCACTTAGGCAGGCATTTAATGTGCTGGCAACTTTTTCAGTGAAATCTCTTCAAATTCGTAATAGGAGAACAGAATTTGTTTTACTCTATAAGAGCCATTTTCCTTTGAGTCAAACTCACTTTCTGAACTGCAAATCCTGTCTTGTATGGTGGGCTGTGGAGAAGGTTGGCAGAAATTTTATTTGGACCCACATTTACAACAGTATTTGGACCCGTATTTACTGTCTTAAGTGATCTCACACCACCCTCACCCTCCTTAAATTTTTGGTGGTGTTTTCTTAAAACTACTTCTGGGGAGGGATGGTGGTGTTGAGTAAGTTACTTCATTTTTCTGCAGTGGCAGAATAATCATTTCGACAAGTTTCTAAACTGATCTTTTGCATAGGTATCTGCCACTTTTGCTGCAAGTTTGGTTACTAGTCCTGCCATTGGAGCGTACCTGTCTGCCAGCTACGGAGATAATCTTGTTGCACTGGTGGCCACGCTGGTGGCTGTTGTGGACATCTGTTTCATCCTGCTAGCTGTACCAGAATCTCTGCCAGAAAAAATGAGACCTTCCTCATGGGGAGCTTCTATATCGTGGGAACAAGCAGATCCTTTTGCAGTAAGATGCACTTCAATAAGTAATAAATGATTGATGGCTGATAATTAATAATCATCTTAATAAATTACATTTTGTAATGTTGAGAAATCTTTAAACTTGTTAGTAGCTTGACTATTCAGTGTGCCATAACCTCTGTTCTCTGATCTTGTACAAAAGATCTAGCTACATTAAAAAAAAAAAACAAAACAAAACTTGGTGGATTAAATGATTCCTGAACTGGAAACAATGGTGTGAAATACAAAGGGAAAACGCTTTACTTTTCTAACTTGCTCTGTTTCATTGTATGAGGAAGGCTGAATTTTTGCTCTGCTGTAGACCCCAGAACTGGATATTGTAAGACTTTTCCATATTCAGTTTATGCTTTGTACTTTTGGGTGGCAACACCTTTCCCCACTCTTGAATTCCAGTTTAGGTTATATATGATTGTTTTCTTTAATATAGGATGGACCTATAAAGCCTGTTTTTTTTTTCTACAGCCTTATATAGGAAGGGCTAAAGTCTATCATGCAATCTTTCTAGTAAGTTGTTCACTTATTCACACTTATCCGCTAGTTTTAGTGCTGTTTTCAGTGAATACTTGCATAAATTTGGTATTGACAGTAGCTTCAAAAATCAAATGGAAACGTTGTGGATGAATAGGTTATGAAATGGGGTTGTTTCTAGCTTAATTTTCAGCCTAATTGTTTCAATGTCTGATTCTATTTTTTTGACTTGTATGCATGGGTAAAAATGGATTTTTAAGAAGTGAATCTGCTTTCTTTATGCTTTCATTAGACTTTGTGTAAAGATTCCAATTCTTGTTTTGTTTCTCTGTTTTACAGTCTCTGAAGAAGGTTAGGAAAGATTCTACGGTTCTCCCAATCTGCATTACAGTGTTTCTCTCCTATCTGCCTGAGGCTGGCCAGTATTCTAGCTTTTTTCTGTACTTGCGACAGGTAAATGCTGGTGTCTTCACATCTTACTGAGGATGTTTAAATAAGTATTCCCTAAGACAAGTTTCTTGCTGAAGACTTTGCTCCGAGAACTGCTTTCGGGCAAAAATACAGCTTTAAAATTGTATGCAGGCTACTTGGCTAAGCCAAGAACTGATTATCACTTGACTCCCAATGCATAAAGTTTAATCATATGTTGATAAAGTTAAACAGACCTTTGTTCCCATTCAATGTAGCAGTTTGTATGTCTCTTGCCTGTTGAAGAGCTATGGTCTGTGGGAGGGGATAGAGAGCTTCAATTTCCAGATACATGACTTCCTCCGTCTCCTTTTTTTAAGTTTTTTTTTACTTGGCAAGCAGTTGAGCTAAAGATTATTCTCAAATGTGGATACTTCCTGTATGAATTTAGATTATAGGCAAGGATCAGTGTTTTCTTTGAAGAGGATATCCTTCTGCTAGTGATTGTCCTGTATTGTGTTTGGCATTTGTTTTATGCATCTTCTGCTTCTCTTCAGATTATAGGTTTTGGATCTGCTAGCATTGCAGCATTTATAGCTGTGGTAGGCATTCTGTCTATAATAGCTCAGGTAAGCTTTATTCTTTTTAGTGTTTTATTAAACAGTACAAACTGAATGCCAAGGCACACTCTTCTGACTATTAAGCCTGTCTATAAACTTCTTACATGCTCTAAAATGCCAGCATATTCACTAAAGGCTATATTCATATATAGTCTGTGTAAATATCTTTCTTTAAATCTGCTTTCCTTGGAAATGCTGGACCTCTGCATCAGAAAATGAAACTAAAATTTGCTAAGCTTAGATCAGGAAATTTGCTGGAACTCTGGCTTTAAATGATTAAAATGATGTAGGAAATTGGTTATTAATTCAAGGCTTTCTGAAAGAGAAACGTGCTGTTTTAAGCAAAAGTCATTCTACTTGCACCTATTCAGTTGTCTCCTGCTATCAAACTCGTGTACAAACAATGCAGTTATTGACATTGTCTGTCCAGGGTTACTTAGGCTCAGCACGGAGGCTGACGAACTGTGAGGCCTTTGTATATTGCTTTCATACCTCTTAATTGGCAACAGTGAGCTGTTTTTTCGTCAGGTTCTTTTTGCCTTTTAGAATTTAAACAATTTTAATTAATTAAATCTGCTCTGTGCTTTGTTCTCATGCTTTTATGTCCACTCGTATTTGAGTGCCCTTGAGGTTGCCCAGAGAAGCTGTGGGTGCCCCATCCCTGGAAGTGTCCAAGGCCAGGCTGGATGAGTCTTTGAGCAACCTGGTCTAGTGGAAGGTATCCCTGCCCATGGCAGGGGGGTTGGAACTAGATGGTCTTTAGGGTCCCTTCCAACCCAAACCATTCTGTGATTTGCCAGTGATACGTTATTCAGATCAATATTTTTGCTAAAAATCTCTGAAATGGCTGCCCTTCTGTATAAGAATTTTCAGTGTTAAAATGAGGAAACTCTGCATTCTTTTTTGCACTCTTTGAAGAATGCATCTTTTTGAAATAAGCTTTGCTTCATAAATATTGCGTTGTGTTGGCAGATTGGATATCTCCATAAAGAACTGTTCACTTGTAGACAGTATTACTGAATTTTTGCTATTTGGCTTTCAGACTAGTTTTGTCTAAGAATGAGGAACAGGAAAATTAGCGTAAGATGTGCATGAGAGAGGAAGTGTGCTCTGCTCTGCAATCCTTCCCGTTCCTTTTCTCTGGCTTTTTACTGATGCATTGCCGAGTTTCTCATATTAAAGAAAAATGTGCACTGTTAACTGAATGAAGTTTTTAATACGGATTTTGCCTTACTAGGAGCACTCTGCTTATTGCCACAACTGTAGTGCTGTTGTATCTGCACTGGGACCTCCTTCCCCCTCAGCAGTAACACTTCTAACACGTGAAAAACAGTGGTCTTCCTTCAGGATTTATTTTTGTGTGCAAATAAAAAGGACATATGAGTGGTGTAAAGATTCAGCAGAAAATGTAGTTAAAGGTACCTAGGAATTGGTCTTGGCCAAATTTCACTGGATGTGGTGAAGTTGGAAAAGCAACAGGATTTACTTGTTGTCTTTAATTGTGTGTTTGGATAGTAATTCACTTGACCTAAAGTGAATCTAACGGACTTTTATTTTCTCTAATATTTGTAGATACTAGTAAATTCAACCCATATCCAGCCTGTAGTATCTTAACTTGATGGCAGCATTTATTGTGGAACTCTCTAATCTGTAATGAAACAGAATCGTGGAAGTGGAAACTAAAGCCAGTTTACAGTAGAAACAGACACTGAGTTACAGTGCCCATAGAGAAGGCAGTACGTATGCCTCTCGACATCCTGAAGTAGCAACTCTTCAGTAGTTCAGAATGTGTGTACATCAAATGTTGATATGAATAGTCTGCATTTTGGACTTAACACAAGGGAAGTAAGAGCACGAATAGTGTGAAGTTCCTCAGAAAGGCCTTCTGAATTACTTTGTGTAGAAGGAGAAATCAGCAATCTTTCTTTTTAAAATAACTTTTGGATGAACCAATTTCTCTTGCAGACTGTGTTTCTCAGTATCTTGATGAGGTCCATAGGGAACAAAAATACAGTTCTCCTTGGCCTTGGATTTCAGATCCTTCAGCTGGCTTGGTACGGTTTTGGATCTCAGTCTTGGTAAGTATGTGTTTTCATAGATACATACCTGTTCAGGAACTTAAATTGTTTTTCCAAGAAATTCTACCATTTAGTCCTGTTGACAGGAGTATTTACATGTTCTGTGAATTAAGCATTCTTACTTGTGTTACACTACCAGACTTTAGTCTGTATTTTGCACATGTAGGAATGATAGAATTTTCCAGGTATATAGGGTAAGTTGTAGACTAACTACTCTGTTTAAAAAAAGGGGCTTTGCACCATTTTGGTCCTCTTGAGTTTTGTGTCTACAAATGTGGTTGAAACTTTTTCTTAAACTCAAAAGCTATTAAGTAGTATATTCTCTCCTGTAATACCACTAGATCCTTTCTAATCAGTTTGTGGACCTCTACTTTTTTTTTTCCTAACGTCATTTTCTTACTATATTTGACCTTGGAAACTATCTAGAGCTTCTTTTGTTGGAGGAAAAACAGTCTCTAAGTGAACTAAAAGTATAAGCTGGAGCAGCTTTTTCTTTACAGTTTGTCCTACTGACAGCAATGAATGCTTGTTCTTTATCAGAGCACTTCCTAGGGAGTTAGTTCCCACCCTGTAAAATTGTTCCTCTGTACAGCCTTCGGAGAGGGAAAGGGGATGCATTGCTTCAGTCCCACTCCCTTCTTTTCCTCTGCTCTAAGAGGTAGTGCAGAATCTAATGTGCGTCTGTTCAGACAAGGTGAGGGTAATCTGTGGGAGGGGAACAGGAAGAAGATCCTGTCCAGATAATTTCTAGGCTTAGGGTATTTTAGTAAAACTACTTTCGAAAGGGCATTCTACCTTGAAATGACTGTACCCTTGTGGGGTGGGGTGTAATTATATGGGCAGTCTCATTTTTAATTCAAATTATGCATTTAACACAGGATGATGTGGGCGGCAGGAGCTATAGCAGCAATGTCAAGCATCACATTCCCGGCAATCAGTGCTCTGGTTTCACGAAATGCAGAGTCGGATCAACAAGGTGAGTACTGAGTGAATATCTGTTTCAGCATCAGACCATTTCTGGGATGTCACTTCTGTCTAGCAATACTTATCTAGGTGGTGTGCTTTCCAAATACGCTGGTGAATAATGAGTTAGCTGTGGAAGTCAGCCAATCTAGGGAGGGAGGAAGGAGGTACACAAATTTATCAGATTTGCGTGGCAAAATACATAGTTTCTGACTGACCAGCTGTCGTGGTTTAGCCCCAGTAAGCAACCAAATAGCACAAATGCAAAGCACAGCCTAGTATTAGCTACTGTGAAGAAAATTTTCTCTGTCCCAGCTAAAACCAGCTCACCAGCTACTTCTCTTCTAGCTTCCTGTAAAAGTACTACAGAAGCAATAAAACCAGATGTGGTAACTTTGATGTGTTTTCCTTGCTCTTTTTTTATTAAAAGTAATATTCTCTAAGTAGACAGTGAGGATTAATGTAACAATTGTATCTTTTTAATACCACATTTTGCCAGATTAAAATAAGCCTGTACAAGAAGCACTGTTTTGTGTGGAAAAGTTTGCCCTATTTGCTGCAATAGAAAAGGAAACTTAAGTAAATAGTTGATCCGACAAGACAGAAATGTATGGATTTTGATGTGAAGGGGAATGAACAATCAGAAACAACTCTTTCTTTAAAAGGAAGTGAGGAAAGTAGTCATCACAAAGTGCAACACTGGTGTATAATAACTGAATTTAGTGTTCCCTTTAAAAAAAAAAATAGCCTGTATGTATAAATTGTAAGTATTAGTCTTGCTTTAACATTGCACAGCTTGAAGTTACAATAAGTGCAGTTAATATGGGAGGTACAAAAGAGGTGCTGGTCTAGGACTTCTTTTGAGTGTGAAAGGTGCAAAAGTACGTATTTTGTGTAGCTTTTTTGTCATTCCCCTGTCCCCCATTTTTGTTTTTCAGAGACATTTAAAAGAGTTTTAGAAGACTTATTTTCTATTTGTGCCATGAGATGAATGCTTTAGTTGAATTGACAGAATTCACTGATCTTTCATTTTACATAGGGGGAAACTACTGTTAATAGCTCAGACAAACAATAATTTATAGAGTGAAGTTTTGCCATCTAGTGGCATGAAGATTTTAAGATCTTAAGCTTACATGTCAGCATATGATGAAAAAACTTGGACAACTTTTCTGGACATGTTTTCTTTCCTACCATTTACTTCCTTAGAAGGGAAGAGATACTCGAACTATTAAAATTGTAGAAAACAGTGTTCTGTAGTATCTTAATGTGGAAGATAGTCAAAACACTTCTAACACTGTTGTCACAATTGCTGGATGAAGTTGAAACAGAAATGCACCCATAGAACTTTGACTAATGAAGCTTTTAAAGTAATCTAATGTAAAACTGCAAACAATCTAGTATTGTGAATTTACCACTACTGCTGAATATACTGCCTTAAATAAGTTGCTTGGTACTTAAATAAAGCTTGGATTTACACAGGTGAAAGGAAGGAATCTGTTACAATTTGTGCATATTTTGCCAATAACAACCCTGAACACATAGAGACATTACTCTTAAATTTCACTTGAAAGTAAGTGGAGCAGGTGCCACACTTAACCCCTCTTTTCTTCCTGGCAGCCTTTGGGTGAGGGTGGAAGAAATTGTAAGACTGAAAATTAAACTTGCACATAGATTCAGTCACTCACGTTCAAAACTGACATTGCTTTCAGCACCATGCAAGCACATTGACTGAACTGTGGTCATGCAGAGAATTATTTTAATCCAACAAAGTTGTCTTCAAAGCATATCTCAAGATTTTAATATGTAAAAATAATTGAGTTTTGCTCTTTCAGAACAGGCACTAGAGTGCACTAAGTGCTCTGGGCACCGACTGTTCTGTTCTTGATTTAAAAAAAAAAAAATTCCTCTCTTTTTTTTTTTTTTTTTTTTTTGTTTTGTTTCCTTCATTAGGTGTTGTCCAAGGAATAATAACTGGGATAAGAGGTCTGTGCAATGGCTTGGGACCAGCACTGTATGGCTTTATTTTCTTTCTCTTTCATGTGGAGCTCAATGAATTGCCACCTAATCAGACTTCTGGAAAAGAAGCAATGCAAGATCCCAGTGGTGAGGTAAATTTAAAATTTGGTGTGAAATTTGCAGTGTGGAACTCAAAAGGGTAAAAATCTGCCATTTTTCATTGATTTAAAATGCTGATATCAAATTAATGAATTGCTTAATTCTCACTTGTCACTTATTAAACTATTAAGATAGTTCATCATTTTCATTTGATTGTAAATATTTAGATGTACAGCAGTCACAGCTTTGGTTTCAGTAGTCTAACGGAACCAGTTAACTTCTCTGCATGTGTATCTACTCAAAGCGCAGCTGTAGTCCTGAATTACAGTGAAACATGAAATTTTGACAATAGGAAGGTCATTTTTGGTAATTCAGTAAATTGTAACAAGTTTATCTTTGAACCTCACAGCAGTAGATTAATTATTCACCTGTGCAGTAATTCAGTATATAATTGAGATACGTATGTGTGTTTTCAGTGTTTTAGTTCACTAACAACGCTGTTCACCACCTTTCTTTACCTGTATGAAACTTAGGGGGAGAAGTCAATCCCATACAACATTTCTTTGGAACTCCTTTCATCTTTTCCTGTATCCCTTCAATCTTTGTTTTCAGGTCTGCATTTTTGTCTGCTTTGTTCTTTCCTATTTGGCTTCCAAAATACCAAATACAGGCTTACATATATTTGAAGAATCTTACGGACCCTTTTTATTCTTTCTATCTGGATTGCTCTGACCTCTTCAGCTACAATTTCATTGCTTTTTCAAAATATTAAGAATGGGCTTTTCATAGAGCTGATGATCGCTTAGCTTGTCACTAAGCTGATTGAGAATGACAACAGATTAGCTCAATATGTAAATAACTGGTGGCTGTTACTGTAGAAACAACTGTTTGTTGTTCATCCCCCAGTCTGTGCATCTTTCCAAGTATTAACTGTTTCACTGGTGCTTGAACATACTGCTCACTGCCGTACCTATGGTGAGGCATTCTATAATTTGCTCAAGCAAACTGAGTATTTTTTTAGAGTGAAGGGGCAAAGACACTTTTTCTTGTACAAAAAGGAAACTTGTAAAATATGGGAAAACCATGATTGCAGGTTTTCAACAGCTTTGTTGTGCTTCCTAATTAATTTTGCTCTTGAACTCTGTTTTTTAAAGCATCGAATCACATAAGCTTTTCTTGGGGGTAGGGACTATGTTGGCTTTTTGACCTTGTAGACATGTTTCTGTTACGAGCATTATCAGTATATTCTAATGCTTTAAGACTATACTTTAAGTAGCCCAGCTGTATCATAGTGGAGCAACTGACGGTTCCAGTGAGCTATGAATGAGTCAAAACTTGTGTTGTGGGATTTTCTAAAGCCTATGAGAGAAGAAATTCTTGTGCTGGATCCTGATGTATGAGCTTCTATATTGGGTCTGGCTGAAATGGAGTTAATTTTCCCCATAGCAGCCCTCAGGGTGCTGTGCTGTGTACTAGTAGCTAGAAAGGTGCTGATAACACACCAGTATTTTGGCTACTGCTGAGCAGTGTCTCTCCAACATTGCCCCCACCTTGGGGCGGATGATATCTTGGGAGGGGACACAGCCAGGACAGCTGACCCAAACTCACCAAAGGGGTATTCCGTACCGTATGGCATCAACTCAGCAATAAAAACTGGTAGGAAGGGGGGGCATTTGTTATTTATATTTGTCTGCTGGAGCAGACATTATGATTTCCAGGAAGTGGCTGGACATCGCCTGCTGATGGGAAGTAGAGAATAAATCTTTGTGTTCCTTTGCTTCCGCATGTGGCCTCTGATTTTTGCCTTATCAAACTCCCTTTTTTTCTTGACCCACGTAGTTGTTTCTTCTATCTTATTTTCTGCCCCACAGTGTTCTGATGAAGAGGGGAGTGGCAGAGCGGCTTGGTGGGTGCCTGGCTTCCAGCCAGTGTCAACCCACCACAGCTTCCTAATAGAAAAATGGTTTTTCTAAGGTGTAAGTGTAAATTAAACCGTCGTTTCAGATGCCCTTGTTTTCTTGAAAACTTATGTAATAATAAATAAGTAGACATTTTTTAGTTAGCAGTACAGCAAAATCAGTATGTATTTGTATAACTAAGACTGCTTTTTACTCTAATTTCAGTGGAATAACTCTTTTATTAAATTATGTATGTACTGATAAGTTTTGTTAAATGTCTGTAATTATATCTCTTCCTGTTAATAGTTGCCAGGCACCTAACATGTAAAACTGTCATTGAGGAAAATAACAACACAAATTTTTCATACAAATCTTTATCCAAGTGGGAATATGATGTAACAGTGGGAAATAACTCCACAATTTAAATATTATATAGCTTTAAAAGTTGATCTAAGTGAGATGAGTGGAAGTGATAACCAGGGAATGCACCAAGATTAGATAATAACCAGGGAATGCACCAAGATTAGATAAGGAAAGTAGCAAATGTGTGCAAGCCTAGTTTACAACACTAGTACTAGTACCCTGGATTTGCAGGATCCAGATGCAAGCTGCCTGTCTCCAGTTTCTTTTAAATTGATAACTAGAAGTTTCTTTACAGACATACTTAGTTTTAAAAATGTTTTCTTGATTTTGTTAGATGCTAATAAATGTTCACTAAGAAGCATTTTACTAACAAGTTTAAATGGTCAAGTACCTTGTTTTAAAAAGTTACTGGATGTCTGTGGAACTCCAGATAACTGATATAATTTGGTTTAGTCTGTGACATGCATTGTTACTTCTTTTTTTTTTTTTGACCCTTAAGCTTGTATTCTACCCCTGTTTGTCAAAACCAATGAGTCTGTAGGAACCTGACTGAGAATGCACTGTTACCGTGCTGAACCTTGATCAAACTCGGTATGCTTTTGAGGTGAATTAAAATCAGTTCTTCCTCCTTTGTTTCCACTGCTGTAATGCTGGGTGTTACTACAACTACAGGAAACATTTTTTGTTTTTATTTTAACCCAACTGAGCTGCCAGTTTCTCCAGCAGAATGCTGTGGGAAGCAGTGTCAAACTCTTTACTAAAGTCCAGGTAGACAACATCCACATCCTTGCCCTTATCCACTAGGCAGGTCACCGTGTGGGAGGAGGAGATGAGGTTAGTCAAGCAGGACCTGCCTTTCATAAATCCATGCTGACTGGGCCTGATTGCCTGGTTGTTCTGTACACACCATGTGATGGCACTCAAGCTGATCTGCTCCATAACCTTCCCTGGCACCGAGGTCAGATTGACAGGCCTGTAGTTCCCTGGATCCTCCTCCTGGTGCTTGGGCATTGCATTTGCTGACCTGCATTCCACCGGGACCTCCCTGGTCAGCCAGGACTGCTGGTAAATGATGGGAAGTGGCTTGGTGACCGCTTCTGCTAGATCCCTCAGTACCCTTGGGTGGATCCTGTCCATCCCCATAGACTTTTCTGTGTCTCAGTGGTGTAGCAGGTTGCTAACAGTATCTTCTTGGATTATGTGGGATTCATTCTGTGCACCATGCGTTTCTTCCATCTCGGGGGGCTGGGTACCCAGAGCACAATTAGTCTTATTAGTAAAGACTGAGGCAAAGAAGACATTAGGTACCTCAGCCTTTACTTTGTCCTCTGTTACTATGTTTTCCCCCTGCTTCTGGTAAAGGATGGAGATTCTCCTTAGCCCTCCTTATGTTGTTAATGCATTTATAGAAACATTGTCTTTTACAATAGTAACCCAATCAAGTTCTATTTGGCTTTGGCCTTTTTAATCTTCTTCCTGCATAGCCTCACAACATACTTGTATTCTTCCTAAGTTGCCTACTGCTTCTTCCAAAGGGCATAAACTCTGCTTTTCTTCCTGAGTTCCAGCCAAATCTCTCTGTTCAGCCAGGCTGGCCTTCCTCACACATAGGGACAGCCTGCTCCTGCATCTTAAGGATTTCCTTCATGAAAAGTGTCTGGCCTTCCTGGGCTCCTTTACCCTTCAGGACTGCCTCCCAAGGGACACAGTTAACCAGTTTCCTAAACAGGCTAAAGTCTGCTCACTAAAATCTAAGGTTGTGATTCTACTAACCACCCTCCTAATTTCACCAAGAACTGAAAATTCTATCATTTCATGGTCACATTTCATGGCGTGAGATGGCTTCCAACCTTCTCATCACCCACAAGTCCTTCTCTGTTCAACAAGTCTAGTGGGGCACCCTTACT